GTAGGTTCGCGTCGTGTCGACCGGCGGTGACCCCAGCGCGGGCGTTTGAGGTTGAACGCCGCCCATGGCCCAGAATCGGCCCATCATTGAACGATCCGGTGTTTCTGAAACGGCCGATCTTTCAAGTTTGAACGATCCCTGCAGTGTCAGGAACCAACGCTGGGGTCGACGCGACGGGAACCTGCTGTATAATACCATCCCTTCTCCCTCCCTCGTCCCTGCTACGATCTGCCCCCCTCCTTCCTTCCTGTGCCCTCTGCCTCCTCGGCTCTCCTCCGCATCCACTCTCCCTCGCCCCCCCTTTCTTGTCCCTCCATCCCCCTCCATCTTTCCTCTCCCCACTGTCCCCCTCATCCCTTCCTCTTTCGGTCCCCTTTTCCATCCCTCCTCCCTCTCTTCTCCCTACTTGCTTCGCGTCTTACGCTCGCAACTCATTTGTTCATCTTTGCAGCCGCATTCCGCGTTTTGAACACTTCAGCCACGTTTCCCTTACCCCTTCTCCCATTCACCTTTTCTCCTCGCCTCTTCCTCTCCATCTCTCCACGCCTCCCCCTCTCCATCTCTCCCCCTGCCCCTATTCGTTCAACTCGTGTTTCTATGCTGGCCGTGCTGGTTCACCGTTTACCATGTTATGCATGTTCGGCGATCTTTCTAGTCAGCGAGTTGTTTTGGTGCTTGTCCAGGTGCCTTCGGCAACACTCGCCACCGTGCCAGCGAAGCACTCAGTGTGGTGACCCTGTGGGCACCACCCAGAAGGCAGTCACATGTGATCCCTCTCGTCCCTAGTTCATGCAGAGCTCTCATTAGGAATCGTTCCACCGTCTTAAGACTGCCGTGTTCTCCTGTGCGGCAGTATTTGGGGTCTTGTGGTGCCCTCTTAGGCGGTCTTGAGGCCCTCCTGACCCAATTTGGGGCCATACTGAGTCGTCGTGGGGCTCTCTTGGCCATCGGGAAATTGTGTGGCCGTCGTGGAGCCGTGTCCTTGGGCCGTGAAGGGTTCTCTCAGGCCGTCTTGGGTCCCTCTGGAGGCCCTTCTGGGCCAGCTTTGGGCTCTCTTGGTGTCGTCCTCAGCTGACTGGGGGGCCTTTCAGGGCTCTCTGTCGGGCCTCTGGGGCCCCCAAAGCTGCAAGTGGACCGACTTCGACCGACGAGCGTTGTAAGCGAAGCGCGTTGAACACACATGTAGGACATCAAGGTATTTGGCCTCTCGAGGTCGAAACCCTCCTGGAGAGCGCCTTGGGGGTATCTCAAAGCCTCTTGGATGTCTCTTGGGACCTATTGAGCACCTCTTAGGGGCTTGGGGCGGTATTCTGGCCTTCTTGGGCCTTTAGGGGCTCATTCCGTCTTGGGTCCCTCCAGAGGCCCTTGTGGGCCAGCATGGGGCTCTTTTGTGGTCGTCTCGACCGTCCTGGGACCGTCTTGGAGCATTCCTGGGCCGTCTTGGGGCCCTCTTAGGCCGTCGTGGGTCCCTCTGGAGAGCTGTTTGATCCAGCATGGGGCGCTCTTGGGGCCGTCCTGAGCCGAGAAGAACCCCTGGCCTTCGAATTCCGCAAGTGGACCGACCCTCGACCGAAGAGCGTGGGAAGCGAACAGCATTGAACACCCATGTCAAGTCACTGGTTTTGGCCTCTCGTCTTTGAAAGCTTATCATTGGGCGCTTACTAGACCGTCTGTGAAACCTTGGAGAGCTTCGGAGAGCCCCATGGGAACGTCGGGTCGCCCTGGGAGCCTCGGGAGAGAAGGCTTATGCAAGCGGTGGCCGAGTTTGATGAGGGGTGGGGGGGCCCGAGAGATTGCAGGAAGTCCTACAAGTCAGCACTTGGCATTCTTCTTCGCCTCGTTGTGCCAGGGGGCATTGCGGCAGACGTACGGTGGGGGGTGGGAAGATAGAGTGCACTGCGACGCCGCCGGCCCGCTTACTACACACGATCCCTCACTTTGGGGATAGCGTCCACCGAAGAAGCCCCGGCAGGGGGACAGCTCATACAGAAGGGATCATCGTTGGGGGATCGCCTCACAGGGATGGCGTGATTTTCAGAGATCGATGTTGCACGCTATCATTCCATCTTCAACCGTACGGTGTAGTTTGAAGTTCCCTCTCACGCACCTCTCCCCTCTCCCCCTCCCCCCTCTAACCTGATGGGGAGCGACAAGGAGGGAGAAGGGTAAGGCGTCAACCTCGGATTGTTCTTTCTCCTCTTCCTTCCGCCGTCCACCTTCCCAGAGCCGCTCTGGCAGACGGTTTCTGTTCTCGACAGTGCATCAGCTGAAACGCTTTCTGCTACCAGCCATGTTCGTTCATGCATTCCGCCTTTTTCGACTCATCCTCTGCCCTTGTCCGCCTTCCTTCCTCTCCCTATCCCTCCTCCTCCTCCTCCTCCTCCTCCTCCTCCTCCTCCTCCTCCCTCTCCCCTCCCTCTCCCCTTCCTCTCCCCTCCCTCCCTCCTCCTGCTGCTGCTCCTCCTCCTCAAGGCTCCACTGAGGGGTGTTTCCAGCCGCCCCCGCTTCGCTGGCGGCCGCGTGGTCTGAGGCGCCCAGGACACTCCAGGACACCCCTGCTTCGTCGGCTCGTAGGCTCCCCCGGGTGGCGCTCGCAGCTCCTTTCTTCCTCCTCCTCCTCCTCTTCTCCTCCTCCTCCTCCTCCTCCTCCTCCCTCTTCACTCTTTGGGCGGATCCACACCTCCAGAACCCCTACGGCCTGGAAGGCTCCGGTACTGCTCGGGCGGGGCTGCGCCGGTACGGCCAGGCTGGATGCGTTTCAGGCGCTGGCTCTCCAGGCGGATCGCGCCTGCTCCTCGAAGGGCCCCCCGAGGTCGAGCCTCTGGCTCGGCCTCGGTCCGGGGCGGCCCTGGCCTTGGCGACTGCTTGCTCAGCTGCGGAGTGTGCCTGGTGGCGGTCGGTCTACGAGTCGGTGTCACGCGAGGGTGAAGGGCCACCTCGGGAGAGCTGACGTTCGGGGCTGCGCCGCCTCAGTCTTTACTTGTGCTGGGGGGTGTCCGCCCGGAACGCCCTCCTGCCCTTGATTGCCTGGCAGCCCCCACCTAGGACGCCTCGGGCTGGTGGAGCCCGCGCCAGGACCGTTGGGACCCGCAGGGGCGGGGTGTCTCCCCTCCCAGGGAACGATTTTGTGCGCGCGCATGCCCGCTAGCACCAGTTCGTGGGCGAAAAGCATCCGTATCCACGTCTTCGCGGTCTGGACTCCTTGGCCGTGATCCCCTGGGTACAGGGCAGCTTTGCGCGGATGCCCCGCGCAGAACGTGCCCGTGGGATTGCGCATCCTTGGGATCGCGCCTCGGAATCCAGACCGCGAGGGTATGGATTTGGGTATGTTCGTCGTGGGTAACCAGCCTCCCAAAGCGACGAGACCAATCACCCTACCTCCCGTTCCCCTCCCTCACGGTTCGGACGAAAGGGGGAGGACGGGAAAAGGGGTGGTTACGAAGTCTGCCGCCTGCAGCTGGTTTCGGCCTCGCCGCAGGGCGCTTTCCTCGGCTCGCTGGTGCCTCCAGCGCTGGGAAGCACCGGGAACGCCGGCTGCGTGAGCCGACTCGCTTGCCCTCACTTCGCTATCCCCCCCCCTTTCGTCCGACCAGGCCATGGCGAGGCAACCAACCGGCCGCCTCGGAGGCCTAGGGGCTTAGAGGTTGGCACCAATACCAACATTGGCGGTATGCCTCCACTGAGCCAGGATGATCCGGATCTTGGTGATGGTGGCAACATTCGGGCTTCTGAGGTGGCCAAGAGATGAACACCAACACCCTAACCTAGGCTTATCTTCCCTCAGTGGAGGCAATACACTCGAAACTGATGGTAAGGATGGGTAACCTTCCCAAGGGTATTCTTGCATGCTTGCCTCCTCGATCCGTCCTGAACCATTCTCGATGACCAGCCCCGCTCGGAAAGCTTCGACATGGGCGCCTACGGGGCTTGCATCCGTATCGCGCATCCTCACTATCAGTTTTGACTGGCGCGCTCATCCTGAAATTCTTTCCGCGGTGAGTGCCCTAGGCAAGGGGGGTCTCCCTGGTGGTGTGGTCCCCCCCTCTCGCTCGAGACATCCCCAGCGTCCAGCTCGGGGAGGCATCGTGGACCTCCTCGCTGGAGGTGGGCCCCCTGGTGGTGTTGGTATCGCTTCTCCTCCCTCCGAGGAGGGGGGGGCGGCCGTGGCCGTCCCGACGCGCGAGGAGCGGCGAACGGGCGACTGGAAGCTGGGAAGTGGGCACCAGCACCAACACGTGTTTCGTCGCGTCAGGCAGAGGCAATCCAATCCGCTCGCGCGCTCGAGTTGCGGGGGGCGCTCGGCAGACCGCGGCCGCGGAGGGCAGGATGGGGTGGTGGTGTCGCCGTTCCCTGTTCCTACCTCCCCCCCTGCAGGCGGCGCGCCCGCAGCTGGAGGTGCACATCAACGTGGCCACGGAGCGCGCGGGGGCAGGTGTGGGGGGTCCAGGCCCAGAGGCCCAGCGCTCCCGGGAGGAGGCGGGGGGATGGAGGGGGAGGGGAACTTGGCATCGCTCGGAAGTGTGCATTCTTCCTTCGGCGAGGACCATCGAGGAGCATCCTTGATCCTTTGGTGAAGAAACCACGCACGAAGCCGAAACACAAAAACACGGGGAGTAGACGTCCGAGCGATGGCAGGGGAAGGGGGGAGGGGAGCAAAGCGGGAGAGGAGAACAGGGGGGGGGACAAGGGATGGAGGGGAGGGGGGGGGGGGAGGAGGAGGAGGAGGAGGAGGAGAGGAGGAGGAGGAGGAGGAGGAGGAGGAGGAGGAGGAGGAGGAGGAGAGAGGAGCAGGAGGAGGAGGAGGAGGAGGAGGAGGAGAGAGGAGGAGGAGGAGCAGGAGGAGGAGGAGGAGGGAGGAGGAGGAGGAGGAGGAGGAGGAGGAGGAGGACGACCACCGGCACGACCACCGCGATCCCAGTCAGCACGGCCGATGTCAGCACGACCGCCACCAGTACGACCACTTACCTGCGACCGCCACTGCGGTCGCACCCCCCCCCGACGACCCCTCGACCACCACGGCCCCCCGTTCCCCTCCCCCTCCGCCCTCCTCTTCTTCCTTTGCCGGCCCGCCCCGGCCGCTGCACGTGTTTCGCGCTTGCCCTTTCTCTTCTCCTCCTGCTCTCTGCGCTACCCTCCCCCCCGTCGTCGTCCCTCTCCCCTTGCTCTCCTGTGTCTCCTGGCTCCGTGGCCTCTCTCGCCCTTCTTCCCATCGCCTCCGCGGGCGCCCTTGCTCCGTCGTCGCGTCTTCCGTTGTCCGGTTCGTCCCTCGTCGTTGCGGGGGTGTGGCTCTGGCAGTTCGGCTGGCAGACTGGAGCTGTTCCCGCTTGCCTGGCGGTCCCCACGGAGACGGGGTGCGGGGCTAACCTTGGCGCCGCGGGGCCGAGAGAGGAGGAGCGGACTGGAAAAAGCCGACCGAATGTGCCCTGCTGGGGCGCACCAGCTGAATGGGAGACATCATGGACCGCGGTATAGCTCAGAGCGTACAGTGGTGGGGTGCACGAGACGTGACCATTGGCGGACATGCCGAGGGGCGCATCGATCGCGCGTTACTGCTCCAAGTAATGGGGGGCAATCAGTCCTGCAAGTACGAAGTAAAGAAATGCATGCACAATCGAGGCAACACACAGCGCCAACATCGGGGTGCTCTACTCAGGGCCAGCGGATGCCAATGATTATTCAAACTCAGACGAGAAATCATCCTTGCCCGAACGCGGGCACGCGCACTTGCAACTCGGTTATTCCCGCCCGGCTTCTGGTATATATATATAAATATATATATATATAGGCATATGTATATGTGTATATATATATATATATATCCATAGCTCCACAGCTGCCATGAGCGCCCGAATACATGTTTTTGGTTTTCGAGAAGGGATGTGGCCGCGTGGTCATATTCCCGGGCGCGCTGCTCGGGTTGACGTCCGGCCCACTGGCTGGACGCCCCCTTATCTTTCTGCGTGTTGTCCCGTGTACTTGCCCCTACCGATGCTCGTCTGCGTCTGGTCGCGGCAGCGCGCCATGGTCGGCCCCAGCGGTCTGCGCTTCCTTTCCTGTGTTTTGACACCATGCTTTCAGGGATGTTGAAAACAATATCCCGATCCTCCTCCTTTACTTGATTTAATTCAGCAGGACTGGGATCCAGCGTTCGGCCCCTCACTCCCGATTTTAAACGAGGTTCAAGGAGAGGGTGCGTAGCGAACGCTATACTCGACGCTGTCTTGGCTCAAGGCAGCGCTGTCTTATATGACAGTTTTGCGACGCTGTGCGTTCTATTTGCGGTTCTTAGCAACGGACAAGTGTCGCGTCCTTCTAGGATCCTTTTTCCCGATCCCACGGCTTATCTTTTCTGTCTCGTCTTGCTTGCCATCGAGGGATGATTTGTGGGGTGCTTCGATGCGTCGCCGACGTTATCCTAAGAGTAGGGTTCTCAGTTTATTACCTCGTGGTCAAGCTCTGTACCCTTCCTTCTCATTTCCCCGACCTTGACCCATCAAAAAGCGAAGGTTTCATTTGATGTCCCGCCCGTCGCCGTCGTGGTCGTCGTCGAGGTCGTCATCGTCGTCGTCGTCGTCGTCAACGTCGTCGTCGACGTCATCGTCATAGTCGTCGACATTTCGGCGTCCCCAGCGCGCCCTGACTACGTGCATCTGTCGGCTGTCGTCGTCGCCGCCGTCGTCGTCGACGGACGCGCCCCGGACGCGCCCCGAACGCGCTGGACGCGTTGGACGCGCCAGACATCTCGGACCCCCGTACACCCTGGACAGCCTTGACACCCCCACCCAGGACAGTCAGGACACACTCGACACGCCGGACACGCCAGACACCCCGGACGATTCGCCGGACACCCCAGACACGCCAGACACCCCAGACACCCCAGACACGCCGGACACCCCAGACACCCTGGACACCTTGCGCACCTTGGACACCCTGGACACCCCGGACACCGTGGACACCCCGGGCACCCCGCACAATTCTCGAACACGTCGGACATTTTGAACACGCCAGCCAGCCTGGACACGCCGGACATGCACACCGGACACCCCGGACACCCCGTACAGCCGGGACACCCCAGACACCCCGTACTCTCCGGACCTGGACTTCGGAAGCCCCGGACAACTTGGACACCCTGGTCACACCAGGCACCGCAGACACACCGGACAATCCCCAGACAATCCCGGGACTCCCGACACACAGAGTAGTATGGCCTGACAACGACGACGATGATGGTGGTAATGATGACGATGATGATCATGATACCGATTATGATGCTGCTTCTGATGGTGATGACGACGATGACGGTTCCAACAATATTGATGACGAGGATGCTGATGATGATGACGATGACGATGACGATGACGATGATGATGATGATGATGATGATGATGATGATCATGATGGTGGTGGTGGTGGTGGTGATGATGATGGTGATGATGATGATGATGATGACGATGATGATGATGATGATGATGATGATGATGTGGATGATGTTGATGATCATACTGATGATGACGATGCTGATGATCACGATGATAATGATGATGACTGTGATTATGGCGATGATGGCGAGGACGATGATGATGCTGGTGATGATGACGATGCATATGACGATGATGATGATGATGATGATGATGATGATGATGATGTCGATGAGTTTGATGATGATGATGAGGATGATGATGATGATGATGATGATGATGATGATCATGATGCTCATGATGATGATGCTGATGATGATGATGATGATGATGATGATGATGATGGTGATGGTGATGATGATGACGAAAATGATGATGATGGTGATGACGATGATGATGCTGATGATGCTGCTGATGCTGATGCTGATGCTGATGCTGATGATGATGATGATGATGACGATGATGAGGATAAGGATGATGATGATGATGCTGATGATGATGATGATGATGACAATGATGATGACGGTGATGACGATGCTGATGCTGATGATGATGATGATGATGATGATGATGATGATGATGATAATGATGATGCTGATGCTGATGCTGATGCTGATGATGATGATGGTGATGATGATGATGATGATGATGATGATGATGATGATGATGATGATGATGGTGATGGTGATGATGGTGATGATGATGGTGATGATGGTGATGATGATGATGATGATGATGATGATGATGATGATGATGATGATGATGCTGACGCTGATGCGGATGATGCTGCTGATCACGATGGTGACGGTGATGTTGATTGCGATAATCATGATGCGCAAGAGGACGATGACGAGGAGGAGGAGGAAGAGGAGGAGGAGGAGGAGGATGATTATAATGAGGATGTGCAGGAGGATGCGGAGGCTGAGGAGGTTGAGGAAGAGGAGGTGCTGGGAGTTTGTCTGGGAGGCTTTGTTCAGGCTTCGATTGTTCTGACAGACTTGTTGTTTGCGTGGTGGATGTTGAGGGGTAAGGAAGGGTAAGGCTTAGGATGATGGCGGGAAGGAGGGGGAAGAGGCCGAGGAGGAGGGAGAGGAGGAGGAACTGGAGGAGGAGGAGAGAGAGGAGGGAGGAGGAGGGGGGAGGAGAAAGGGGAGGAGCAGGAGGAGGGTTCGTTCCCACACTCTCCGTTATCCTAGTCCATCGTCCCCCCTCTCCCCCTCTCAGGTGTCGAGTCGTGTGTGCCGTGACCTGCTTGCGAATCTGTGGGCGAACGCTCATGTCCGCCACGTTTGGGTTTTTCTTGTCGGACGCCCGGAGGAGCTGCAGAACGCGACCCAGACCGAGGACCGCCTTGCCCCCCATCCGCGAGAAATCTACGTGCCTGCCGTTCGCTGAATCACTTTCGTTTCGCAGTTTTTGCAACATCAGCGTGCCCAATATCCTGCTCTTGCACCGACACCCGACCTCGCGAATAACATCACGACGCCGTGAACAAAATCACCCGCCGAGCTCTCGACCCGTTCTCTTTGCGGGATCTCTCGGGCCAGATCGATCCGATAGTGGCCCCGGGGGCCCCAGGCGGGGCAGAAACGCCCGCCGCGGCACCAGCGTGCACGGCCGTCGTCAAGAGCGGCGAGGGCGGGGGAAGTTGCCCGGCCCCCCTCCGGCGCGCCCTGTTTCACACCATGGTGTGCGCCCGATCAGACATTACTAACGTTCCCCTCGCCTATTTATGCAGCCATCCACTCTTTTCCCTTGCAGAGTGTAGGTAGGGCATGGATCATGCGGAGGGGGTGTGCCCGCAGCTGTGATAGCTAATCAAGCAAAAGCGCGGGCGCCAGCCAGCTGGGCGGGCCCGGCGTACACCCGCGCATACGGATACATGATTTATTGCTCATAGTAGTACCGCTAACCGGAATTTCTTAGCCATGTATTCACCAGTTCGTAGCGGGAGGTTAGCTTCTCGTGAAATGCGAGGAGAAAAAACTCAACGAGCAGAACAACCTATCAACACCAATTGACGTTTGCCTAATAGACGATGAGTGCGCGAAGCATTGGTTATCAACTGAAGGTTCTTCCACGAGGTCAGGAAACACTCCCTTCCGGAACTGGCGATGACGATGCTGTTTTTGGTGCACCAGAAAACATCCACGCGGTTAAAGAAGCGGCGAAAGTCGCCCTCCAAGACCCCAGCGATGTCAGGGGGCCGACTTTACGCCCCTCGCAGAACGCGTGTATGAACATTCCTGTTCCCGTGTCTAACATGCTATGTTAAAACCGCCGAAGACCAGGCGGTCGAAGACGATTGGCCCGCCGTTAGAGTCAGGCAATTCCGATCAGGGGGTGGCAGACTGAGAAATCGCAGGAAACGAGACGAGAAGCGCAGAATGCCCACTTCGCCTGAGGGAATCGGAACGAGTCGACCAGGGGGGCCGATGGTAAATTTTACCCAGGCCTCCTTGTGAAGGGCCCGCTCGCCTCGGGCCCGGCCTGGGGCGTCCGCGAGGCGGCGGGGGCCGCGAGCGACGTCGGGGGCGTCGTCGCGATCGGCATGCGCCGCTCGCTCGAACGAATCGAGCTATCGTATACTAGATGCATGTTTTCACAAAGGGGTCGACTGTGCCGACATCCCAGAGATCAGATGCCCCGGAATGATTGGGAAATGCAAAATGCTTGTTTGCTCGGCGATCTCAGTGAATTGCCCCGAGTGTAACTTAAGATTGCTATGCCCAGGCTGCCTCGTTCCCATCGTGCATCGCATGGCTCTCCGCCGCCGAGAATGGGGGGGTGGGGGTGGGGGTGGGGGTGGGGTGGTGGTGGTGGTGGTGGTGGCGGTGGTGGTGGTGGTGGTGGTGGTGGTGGTGGTGGGGGGGGGGGGGCAAGAGAGGAAACGCGCCATTCAGATGGGGGGGCGAGAAGGGGGAATGGCGCGCGTGCAGAAACCGGTCAGGGCCGTGGAACTTCAGCAGAGGGCGGCGGCGAGGCTCCACTTTGAGGTTGGCTGGCAGGCCGCCGCTCGCGCTTGGAACGCTCCGAGGGGCGCTTGCGCCTTGCAATGGTTGACAGAACCGAGAGGGCACATGTCGAGATGGAAGACGTGGCGCGTCGGGCCATTGTCAGGGCCATTCGACTGTCGACCTTGTTGCGAGGAAGCCGCGCGGCGATGCCGCGGCCTCCTCGGGGCGAAGGATAGAGTGCGAGGTCGCTCGACGCTTGTGGTCGCTCGAGGACAGCGCCATGACCGAGCGCGAGAAGTTGATTTCTACGCTGCGCGAGGCAAGGCAGCGCGCTACCTGGAACGCCGCGCTGCAGCCAACGAGCAGCGAAGATAACAGTGCGCTGAACAAAGTGGTGAAGGCAGAGCCGGTCGCCGAAAAGCGGGAAATGGAAGAAGAGGAGAAAGCTGGTGGAGACGTCGAGCGTCGGAGAAGTCGAGGTAAAGATGGGGTCGCTGTGGGGGCGGCGCCTGTCACGCGGCCCCTTGGTTTCGCACCCCCTAATTCCCGATGGCGGCGGCGACGCGTTTGATAGGGGGGGAAACCCAACGGTTCTGCCCCAGGGGTCGCTGCCCCAGCCGAGAGAGAGAGCGGCTCGTTCCTGCCCGTCGACGGCGGCGGCGGATCCGGAGGTTGATTCAGATTTCGAACCAGGTGAATCCGAGGGCGCGGGCGAAGATTATTCGGGCGACGAGGAGAGCGATGACGGAGACATGCGCCGCTGGCGTTGCGACCTTCTGGGGGGCGATCCCCCGCCGGGGGCGGGTGTCTGGCGAATCTCCCGCGCGGTATTTTCGGCGCGGGGGGCGCGTGGACAGGCGCGGGGCAGACGGGCGAGGTCGTCTTGGATCCCATCCGTGATGCCAGTGGGTGCAAGAGGTGGATGAGGAACGCTGCTCAGCTGGCGTCGTCTGGCACTACGCAGGTGGCAAGAGCGACCCCCTGGATCAGTGCTGCCTCCGAGCTCAAATAGCGGGCCTCGACGACCCCGGCGCAGTTGGGGGGCGCGATTTGATGATCGCCTCGGACTTGATGTCAAAGATCAGCAAGATCTCGAAAGGCGCGGAGGTGCCCCTTCCCATGAGACACTTGGGAAGTGAAATGGCCCGCCTGGATTCTACGCATTGGAAGCAGGCGGAGGGCCCTTTCGGGCCGAACTATTCTGCGGACCATCGCCGCGCGCCTTGCTACCCGGCAACGTTAGGGTTAGGCGTGTGCGCGCCAGGACCTGATGCAACTCGAGGTCCGAGGTCCCGGCCGGCAAGCATCCGGCAACTCGTTTCATTTCTATGGTGAACAGGTGAGAATCAGGAATGATATAGAAACGCCCCGCAAGTCGTTCCGACCCGCTATCCAGCAACATTTCTATAGACAGAAGCAGAAATGTCCGAGTACGGCGATGGCCCTTGCCATGTGTGAACATGAAGATGAACGCAGCAAGGGCGCCAGGTTGCGCGAGCGGCTGCTCGCTCAGATTAACGGGCGCGCGCAGACGGATAGCGAAGAACGCGACCGAGAGGTTCCGCGGAAGCGGCTGAACACCAGCGGCCACCCAGTGGGAGGCGCGCGGGGCCCCGGCGACAATAAGCGGTCGTTTTGCGCGCCGGATGGGAAGACCTCGAAGAAGTCTGCCGAGCGCAAACATTTGATTTAATGGAGATGCACACATTCAGGGCTTAGTGTCCATGCAAGCACCGCAATGGTTGCGGGGTCAATGAAGAGGCAACCTCTTTCCCGATAATTTCCAGATGTCTGACGCATGTTTAGAACATGTTCATGTTTCAGATTTCTGAGAAGCTTTTGAAATTCAAAGATATGTCTGTTAGGGTGTCCAGTGTCGTGGCATCCACAATGCGGCGGGGGCCGACCCCGCTGCCCCCGCGCTGCAAGACGCCGCCCCGGGCGGCGGGGGCGGCGGGGGGGGGGGGGCGACGAGGGGGGGGGGGGGTCATGGGGCAGGCGGTGCAAAAGGAGGAAAGAATCGCAGCGTAAGTCAAGAACGCAGCAACGGTGACGATCGCCCGCGGCCTCGGAGTAAAGGGTCGAGCGCGACGTCCTCGAAGGGCTGGTCGCGCTGCGCCTGTAGTCAGGGGGCCTGCTCGTTGCTTCAGGAACAATGCCCCCGCGAGCATCGCAAAGCGACGCCCTCGGATATGCTCGCGCGCGACAAGTGGGAGGCCAAAGTGGGCAAGGACAAAGAGGAGCTCTCGTGCGAGAGAAACGCCGGCCACGCCTCCGCCGCCGTCACAGAGCGCGAAAGAAAAACGCAGCTCCCGGCGGCCCTGGCGGCGCCGAGCCCAAGAAATCCACAGGTACAGGCAAGAGTGGAAAGCCGAGGCAGTGCTGGGGGTTTCTTGCCGCGGGCCCATGCCGCATTGGAAAAGCTTGCTACGGGGCGCCCGCGACGAGGGCGGCCGGCGCGCGGCGGCAGCGTCGCTGGCGCTGGCCACGCGGGCGGGGATACATATGCCGACATTGCAACGCCGCGTGAGAGCGTGTATATACGCGCCTCTCTTGCGGCGGTTCATGCGGGATTGGGGCTTCGAGTCCCGCGACGAGAGCTAACCGCTGATTTGGGCAGCGCTGGGGTCGGTGACCAGGGAGTCGCGCGGCGGCAAATTACCGCGCGGCGAGCCGCTCTGGATCTCTCGCAGAAGGGCAAACCGGGGCGGGGCGCTCCCCGCAGGGGCGCGGGGCGCGCCGCATCGGTGCGAGCGACTCGGCAGACCCGGGTGCGCATAGTTAGTTTCTTCCAGCCCCGTCCTTCGCGCGCGTTCTCATCGGGCCCCCCGGAAGAGGGCCCCCTCGGGCAACGAGCGCGTCGCAGGGTAATGTCGTCGCTTCTGGCCCCGGGTGGGCGAGAGACAGCGAGCATCATGACAAAGAGAATCAGATGCTAGCCTATGCCAAAGTGGTCAAAAGAGAGTCGTTCGACGTTTGCGGTCCGACCGGGGCCCGTGCCCCCATGGTGCTTTCTCTGGTTCTAGTTGCGGATTGGAGGGCGACTGCGTCGCTGCGTCTGCGAGGGGAGCTTCGAAGAGAACAGAAGTCAAACGAGGTGGCCTTATGCGTCTGGACGAATGAGGTTCGTGGTTGACGCGGCGCTGGGTCCAACTCGATGGCGGTTCGCTCCCTTCGGGAGACAGGGCCGGTGGACAGGGCCACTCCTTGGCGAGCGCCTATTTTCCTCGATGCTGCAGGAGGGCAATCGCGGGCTCGCGGGGCCGTGCACATCGCTAGCGATCAGTCGTGCGGGGGGGGCGTCGAGGCTATTGTCGCGCCAGAAACTCTGGGCGTGATATCGGTGGGTGAGCTCTGCGTAGACCGCGGCTGCGGCTCCAACTGGAT